TGGGGGGGGGTACTACTTTTCTCTCTCTTCCTTTGCACTTCTCTCTCCCTTTTTCTCAATTTCCTAACTTTTATTTTCTCTCGTATTTTTATTTTATAATGAAATGTAATAAAATCTAGAAAGAAAAAAATATTAAACATACAGAAAATACTATTTGCCAGTGGCTTTAAATGTTCTACCTCTGCATAAATCATGCAGGACGTCCACAACATTATGCAAAATTTCTCCTTATTAAATAAATAATTCATAGTTTTGATGTTTTGCATTTTCACTTTTCTTGAAAGATTTAAATATTTTTTAAAAAAGAAATAATTCAATGAGGTTCAATTTGCATAATGTATGGAAGAGAATGTCCTTCCTTCCTTCCTTCCTTCCTTCCTTCCTTCCTTCCTTCCTTCCCTCCCTCCCTCCCTCCCTCCCTCCCTTCTTTCCACTCTTCCTTCCCATATGGTACTTAGATAGCTCTGCTTCCAGGATACATACAGATATTTTTTCCCCTGATCATTCATTTCACATACCTACGGTTTGCCTAATGTGGTGTAGGCAGCTCCACCTTCAAAAGGATAACTTAGCCTTGGGTTAATTAATGTGCTGCTGGAGACGCTTTCCATATATGTGAATTTTCTGTGCCCCAAACTCTTGACTGGCTCTATATATGGTCAAGCAATGCAGGCAAGGGGTAACGTGGTCAGTTTGAAGATTTTTAGAGGGCTCCCTTTACCCAGAGAAATCCAAGTGTGCTTGCTGACACACCAAAGCTGATAAAATCGCCCTGTAGGAGGACTGCAGAGGAGTCAAAGTAGAATTTATTTCTAGGGTGAAAAGGCAGCGAGGTTCTTGGATCCAAGTTTAGATTAAAGGGGGTTTGCACCAGTGGTGAAATCTGAACCGGTTTGCCACTGGTTTGCTGGCCGTGCATGCACAGTGTGCGCCAAATGTCCGCTGCATACATGCACATGCATGGTGCGTGCCAAATGCGCACTGCATATGCATGCATGCACAGTGCGTGCCAAATGCACGCTGCGCACAGAAAAAGGAGATTTGGGAAGGTAAATAGAACAGCAGGGGGAGAACAGTTGTGCCATGCAATTTAGATTCACTAGAAAGCAGGATTTCCTGCTTTTTAGCAGTTTTAAATCGTGCGGCACAGCTGATCGTTGGAAATACCGTTTTGGAGGAACCGATGGCCTTTTTTTACTACCAGTGTGCCTGAATGAGTTCACCTCTCATTTCCCATATGAATAGGAAATTGCACAGCAGCCTTTGCAACAAGTGGGAGCCAATTTCCATCTTGCTGAGTCTATTTTTTCCAAAGAGGGCAGATTTCCACCTTTTCATTCAGTGGTGGATTCCTCCCGGTTTGGCCCGGTTCCGCTGAGTTGGTAGCGGTGACGATATGACATCACCAAACTGGTTCTGCCCCCCACCCCCCACCCACCCCGCGTTATTCTTACCTTTTATTTGGCCTCACCCCCAATCTATTGCTGCCTCCTGAGTCCCAGCTGATGAGCTATAAGGAAAAACTGTTTAAACTCTTACCGCGGGGCTTCAAAGGGCTGCCCTACAGCTGATCAGTGGTAAAAGGCAGTTTGGTGGTAGACCAGTACGCTCGAAAAACAAATGTGTAGACTGGTGCCTGCAAAAATAAATGGGTAGACCAATGCCTGCAAAAATACATGAGTGGACCAGTGCCTGCAAAAATACATGAGTAGACCAGTGCCTGCAAAAATACATGAATAGACCAGTGTCTGCAAAAATAAATGGTTAGACCAGTACAGCTCTGCAAGCAGTTAACAGCCTGGTAGACCAGTACCTCTGCTAAATCCTAAAGAATTGTCACATGACCATCAAACCACACCCACAAAATAAGCCATGTCCACAGAACCGGTAGTAAAAAAATTTAGAACCCACCCCAAAACAAAATGTTTTCATTTCTTTTTCATTTTTCATTGATTTATTAAAATATTTGTATAGCCTTGCTGGATCTACTTTTTCTTCGAATCCTAGGTCTACCGACTGGAATTATGCTTAATGGCAGAGTCAAGTTCCAAATGGCACTTTAGGAACTGTGCAGAGAATTTCTATTGCTCTGTCTTCCATACCCAAGGACAGCTTTTAATACACATAGGCTGGATTTATTGACTCATAGTTTAGAGGGGAGGGTTATTTTTAATAAGGTATTGTTAATTTATGTTTGCTTTAATCCTTTACCACTCTGGAAAGAGTTTAGCGAGTTGTAGCCCCTTTTGAGGGAATAGTCCATTTAAGGAAGGAAAGATGGAGAGAGTCTTTCAGGAATAAATAAAACCATCTTTTAATAACAACTTCTCTTTTACAGCTGCCTGTGCTGATCAGATGCAGAACAAGCACGAAAGCAATCTCAGCCTATGTTTTTGGCATACCTAAAAGTCATTTTGGCAAAAAATAGCCTTTCTTCTAATTCCAAACTAGAGATGGAGGAACATTTAAAACTTAAAGCATTTTTTTTTTAACATTTCAATCTCCCTCCAAGGATCTGAGTCAGGAGTGAAATCCAGCAGGTTCTGACAGGTTCTCGGAGAACCGGTAGCAGAAATTTTGAGTAGTTCGGAGAACCGGTAGCGAAAATTTTGAGTAGTTCGGAGAACCGGTAGCGGAAATTTTGAGTAGTTCGGAGAACCGGTAGCGAAAATTTTGAGTAGTTCGGAGAACCGGCAAATACTACCTCTGGCTGGCCCCAAAGTGGGGTGGGAATGGAGATTTTGCAATACCTTTCCCCCCGGAGGGGGGTGGGAATGGAGATTTTGCAATACCCTTCCCCCAGAAGTGGGATGGGAATGGAGATTTTGCAGTATCCTTTCCCTGCCACGCCCACCAAGCCACGCCATGCCCACAGAACCAGTAGTAAAAAAATTTGGATTTCACCACTGATCTGAGCACAATGCCAAGAGTTGTCTCCCACAGGATCCCTTCAAAATCAATTCATGGCTGTTTAATTGCGGCCCTAAATTTACATTTTTATTTTTTTTTTGCAGTATATTGAAATGAAAACCAAAGCCTGGAGCTTCTCGAAGTCAAAGATAATCAGGAGCATTTGAAGAGGATGGTCACAATTTAGCAATCAAAGCCCCACCTCTTCCAGCACCCATTTTGGTCATGTGATCAAAACTGCCATCTTGATTTTTTTTGAACCTGTGCCAAGGACATTCCTACCAATAGTCTACCTAAGCTATACACTAACCAGGCTTAGGAGAATGTGGGGATGCAGTTGCTATGTCTTTGTAAATGACCTGGTTAAACATACGTTGTGAATTCAGCTCCTAAAATAGATTAACTGAATCCTGCACGAAAAAATTGTGGGTAATCTAAAAGCTGCAGAGAAGCCCTGAATCTCTTTCCTGTGGAGCTTTCTAATATGACAGAGTTGCCTGGTGTTTTGTATAGAAAATGGAGCAAATTCTAAAATTTTAAGATACAGCTTTTCCCGTTTTTACGAAGGCTAAAAAATACAATAATAACCACATGAGTTTATATGATGTTAGGAATATTAACTCCATTTTCACTCACTGACTCTCCAATCTGCCAATATCCCTCTTGTATCCAATGAACGTTTTCCCTGCCAGTCACTCCAGCTTTGGAATTTTGGAATTAATAAGAAATGCACTTCCTGAGCATGTGCAGAGAGCCTTTTTTTTTTCACTGTCGAGAACCACAGCTGGATAGTAGAGCTCAATCTGGAAAGGACCTCGTCTCCTTTGCAAAATGCTGGGAATTCTAGTCCCCCTGTAACAAGATGCTGCCAGGATGGGACATCTGATATACAACATAAGTTGCAATTATGGCGTCCATGAGAATTTCAGGGCAAGAGGGATGCTTAACGGTAGAAGGAAGAAATAGAGATGAAATAAAAAATTGGAAAAATATGGGGGAAATGGCAGCCATGTGACTATATGGAGGGACTTCCGGTTTGGCGACACGGGGATGCAGTCGGAGAAATGGCGGGGCTCTGATGAGCTAACTGCCACTGACAGGTCTGCATACCTACCCTGTCCTGAAGGGACAGGGGAAAGAGAGGAACCCCTTGGGCAGCCGAGAAGAACGGGCAACTTCCTCGGAGGCCGGAGGCAATCCTCTAAGTCAGCGGCGGGGGACGGCAGCCATGGTGGCTGCCTCGAGACTGCGACAAATTGGGACAAGCAAAGTGCAGGAGGAAGGGAGAAAGGACGATGTGCTTCGGAACCGGGTGAGTGACACCAGCCCAGGCGAGAAACAACACGTTAATGAGGATATTTATAAATAAGACCCCCAGCCTTACTTAGCGGCTGAAGATCTGAGAGGCTTGAAGATTTTGGGGGAAGGAAAGAAGTTTTAAACCCTTTAAGAACTTTATTCCACCACTGATTGACTGGAGGGAATTGTTTATTAACTAAAAAGAATTGGATATTTGTGACTATATGGAGAAAATTGGCTGGAGAAAATTTTGTGATCCATTGATTGACTGATTGAGAAATTCACTCTTCCTGCCTACCCAGAAGCTTTACCACAGAGGTCTCCAATCCTGGCAACTTTAAGACTTGTTTTTTTTTTTAAATTGATTTATATGCCGCCCTTCTCCGGAGACTCAGGGCGGCTTACAATGTGTTAAGCAATAGCCTTCATACGTTTGTATATTTATACAAAGTCAGCTTATTGCCCCCACAAACTGGGTCCTCAATTTACCTACCTTAGAAAGGATGGAAGGCTGAGTCAACCTTAAGCCTGGGGAGATTCGAACTTACAGTAATTGCAGACAGCTGGTGTTAATCACAATGCTATCAGTCTGCTGAGCCACCAGGCCCGTGGACATCAACTCTGAGGAATTCTGGGAGTTGACGTCCACAAGTCTTGAAGTTGCCAAGTTTGGAGACCCCTGTTTTACCAGCTACTCAGTGAACAATACCAAGAACTAAATTTTTTGATTGTGCAGACTGGGCCAGACAAAAGGGAGAAAAAGTGGTTGATGGAAGAAACCAAATCCCTACCTTGAAAGTTAATGTGTGGAAACTAGAGCTGAGCACACCAAGGAAGGATATAATCAACTCTGGAGCAGCTGACAAGGTCAATAAACAAAAGCCCTGGAGATGAAGGTCCATCGACGTTTGGAGGAAAAAGGAATGAGAAAGCAGCATGTTGAGGAAAGGAATATTATTCCCAACCCACAGCCTGCAGCAGAACAAACAGGCTGAGCTGCCTGCAGTGGAAGAGGAGGGACCCGCTCTTTAATTAAGGGAAGAATTCCAGCATCTAGTCAAAAAGAGGTTCCACTAATCCTGAACCAGCCCAAATTATGGGCAGCCAAAATATTGATTTACCAAACCGCAGGCTGGGAGTATAAATACCATTCATCAGAAGGATGGAAAACTGCAATGTTTCCAAGTGGCTGGTTTGAAAGGCAAGCCAAAATGATGAAAATTTTTCTACATGAGCATTTTTTAAAAAAAAAAGAAAGAAAGAAAGAAAAGCTGCATTTTCCAAATGTGAATGAAAAAATCCAAACGGCTGGATTTTTAACCCTGTAAAATAAGACCATTTTGATGGAAAGAAAACCAACTAGGATTGCCATGCAAGAAAGGTCTAGAAATGCAAGAAACTACTGGGTTAAGTTTTGGAGGAGCTGAGTGTTTACCTGTATAGCACAATGTTTATCCTCAAGTTTCCACTGGCCCTTGTCTCATTTGACAAAAGCAGGCAGGAGAATTTATCTTCTCAGCAATAATCATCCAGTAGAACAGAGGTGGGTTTCAGCAGGTTCTGACCAGTTCTGGAGAACCGGTAGTGGAAATTTTGAGTAGTTCAGAGAACTGGTAGTAAAAATTCTGACTGGCCCCGCCCCCATCTATTCTCTATCTCCTGAGTCCCAGCTGATCGGGAGGAAATGGGGATTTTGCAGTAACCTTTCCCTGGATTGCGGAGGGAATGGAGATTTTACAGTATCCTTCCTCTGGAGTGGGGTGGGAATGGAGATTTTACAGTATCCTTCCCCTGCCATGCCCACCAAGCCACGCCCACTAAACTATGCCACGCCCACCAAGCCACGCCCACAGAACTGGTAGTAAAAAAAAATTAGATTTTACCACTGCTTTGAACGGACCCTAAACAAATTGTTGTAAGTCAAGGACTACCTGTACAGGTTAGGCTTATGAAATGAGAATCTTGACTAAATCATGAGTGTCGGCCTGTGCATTTCTATGGGTCTTAAAATATGTGAAACCAGACTGTTGGCTTTGGGGTTTGGAGGTTTGTGTAATTTCAGAAAATTGATTAATTCAGCAATCAGGCTGAACACAGACGCCTGCTATTAAAACTGTTGTTGAAGTTTTGAAATAATACAGACAAACTCGCTGAAACAAACCACCACATTAAGGTAAATCCAAGCCAGCTGCTACACAGAAGTCTATTTTTAACATCATAAAATCAAAAGAACCCCTAGAAGTCCTTTAAAACGTGACCAGCAACTTTTTCAATAAAAAGTTTTCATCCTTGCTAAAACTTAATCAACCTCAAATGACCAGCATCTTTAAGAAAGAATGTTGCAAAATAAAATAAAATAAACACTCTTTGTCTTTAGGGTGAAGTTAGGTGAGATGTTAGGATTTTAATATTGAGAATGTGCATTTATGCCAGTAAAGATAAGGTAAATGCATTCAGGAAGACAAATTGCAATGTTAGCCATCTGGAATATCAAAATGCAAACGCTGAGTTCCTTAAGAGGGCCAGGTAAGGTCAAGCAAGGGAAGAATCTCAGTATAATAATTATAATCCATCACAATCAAATAGTGCAATCTCTGAATTCATGCTAGCCAGCTCTGTCAATAACAATAATGATTAAAGATTTCTTCATTTGTATTAATCCATTTCTTCCTTCCTTTCCTTTTAGCCTTGCCCTGTAAACCAGATAGGAATCACAACCGGAAGAGCTAATTTCACTTTGTTGACAGAAATTTACAAGTCTGAAAATACAAATCCCCCCCATTTCCTTTACAGCTGAGAAATTAATGAGCGGGGGTCTCTTCTAAGTTTCTTGCCTTACCTACTATCCAGCTATGGGCTATGCTGTCTTTTATCTGCTGGCCACATCTCTTTGTCCAGTCTCCATGGTCTTTTCTACATGCCTTTCCTTTCCTTTCCTTTCCTTTCCTTTCCTTTCCTTTCCTTTCCTTTTCTTTTCTTTTCTTTCCTTTCCTTTCCTTTCCCTTTGCTTCGCTTCGCTTCCCTTCCCTTTCTTTCACTTCTCTCTCCTCTCCTCTCCCCTCCTCTCCTCTCCTCTTCCATTTTATTTCATTGAATTTCATATATCCCAACAGCTACCAAATAAGGTTTGTTCTTTACATCATTGAAAAATAGGCAATTTTATTGCACCCTGAATTACTGCATTTAAAGAGAACCAACCAAAGTGCATATTTTTGTAGGAAACGAGCCCATACATCCTTGCACACAAGCAAGCTAAATTTGAAAATCAATGTATGCTTCTAAAATGATAGGCAGATAGATAGTTATTTCAGAGGAAAGAAAGAAATGTATGTGAAAAAGGTGTACATCAAGGAAATGTTATATAAATATATTTATATAATATGTTGATGGGGATTTTGAAGGTTATATATTAGTTGAGTACAGAATAATAGAGTTGGAAATGATCTTGGAGGTCTCCTAGTCCAACCTTCTGCTCAAGCAGGGAAACCCTATACCATGAGTCTTCGGAGAAAGGCAGCATACAAGTTGAACAAATAAATAAATAAATAAATTTCAGACAAATGGCTGTCCAATCTCTTCTTAAAGACCTCCAGTGTTGGAGCGCCCACAACTTCTGGAAGCAAATCATTCTATTGATTAATTGTTCTAACTGTCAGGAAACGTCTCCTTAGTTGTAGGTTGCTTCTCTCCTTGATTAGTTTCCGTCCATTGCCTCTTGTCCTGCCTTCAGGTGCTTTGGAGAATAGAGTGATACCCTCTTCCTTGTGGCAGTCCTTCAAATACTGGAACACTGCTATCATATCACCTCTAGTCCAGGGGTGAAATCCAGCAGGTTCTGACAGGTTCTGGACAACCGGTAGCAGAAATTTTGAGCAGTTTGGAGAACCGGTAGTGGGAAATGTAAGTAGTTCGGGGATTTTGCAGTATCCTTCCCCTGGAGTGGGGTGGGAATGGACATTTTGCAGTATCCTTCCCCTGCCATGTCCAACAAGCCACACCATGCCCACCAAGCCACGCCCACAGAACCGGTAGTAAAAAAAAATTGGATTTCACCACTGCCCTACTTCTTCTTTTCATTAAATGAGACATACAACCTGAAACCTACAAAAGCTTATTATGTTAGAAAACACCATGAACAAAAAGAACCATACAAAATAAAGGCAAAATACTTCCTCCTACAGCAGTGAAGCTTCATTTCAGAGGTTCAATTAGAAAGCCATCTCAGCTAATGTTTAGATCCAACCAATTAGGTCCAAACTTAATCAGCAATTCAGATTGAATCTCGGAATCAGAAGCTTCCCATTTAATTCAATGATATGAATCAATTCAATGATTCAAACTGGAACCAATCCACCCCACCCTGATGACTGGAAATCTCAGCAGCCCAGAACATTACTGTTTTTCATAATGTATGTGTGATTGATCTAGCGTAGACTGTGGTGAACATAATATCTTTGGTTAATAAAGACTAGGTGTTCTTTTCTGGTATAATAATGAACCTAACCTGGAATTCACTCAGCTGTCCATGGCTAGCAAAATTTTGTCTGAAATATTGCTAAGGTATTTAGGCCAACCATCCTTATCCAATACAAGAAGTTCTGGATCCCCAGAGGTAGGTATCAGTGAACTTTGCTTCCAGATGTAATAGAGAAGGATGCCTAATACAAAGGCAAGCATGCATTCCTTCCTATAACTTTTCTCTTCTTGCCTCACACAGCTTTATGATCAATTGCCTCCTACAGCTAACTACTTTGCGAACTAATTTGACTACTGCATTTCCTTTGACATTTTTATTACATGATTCCAGCTTCCTCTCTCTCTCTTTAATCAAGGTGAGCAAAACATATAGAATAGAATAGAATAGAATAGAATAGAATAGAATAGAATAGAATAGAATAGAATTCTTTATTGGCCAAGTGTGATTGGACACACAAGGAATTTGCCTTGGTGCGTACGCTCTCAATGTACATAAAAGAAAAGATACGTTCATCAAGAATCATAAGGTACAACACTTAATGATAGTCATAGGGTACAAATAAGCAATCAGAAAACAATATCAATAAAAATTGTAAGCAACAAAGCAACAAAGTTACAGTCATACAGTCATAAGTGGGAGGAGATGGGTGATAGGAATGATGAGAAGATTAATAGTAGTGCAGACTTAGTAAATAGTTTGACAGTGTTGAGGGAATTATTTGTTTAGCAGAGTGATGGCGTTTGGGAAAAAACTGTCTAGTTGTTCTGGTGGTGGTGGTGGTGGTGGGCCTGTTTTTCACCCTCCTCAGGGTCCAGGGCCTTTCTAGGAGCCTGGGGAAAGCAAAACGGCCTTCTCCACCATCCCGGAGGCCCTCTGTAGGTCGGAAACAGCCCGTTTCCCGACTTCCGGTGGGCCCAGAAGGCCAGAAAATCAGCTGGCCAGCACATGCATGCGCGGCGGACCTGAGCTAGGGCAATGCTTGCGTGCCCACCAATATGGCTCCGTGTGCCACCTGTGGCACGTGTGCCATAGATTCGCCATCACGGCTGTAAGGCTTGAAATTCTTGGCTTGGATAGCTTAGAACTGTGACACTTGTGGTTACACTTAGATATTGCACGCAATATTATGTATCGTAACAATTTGCCTGTAAATAACTTTTTTTTTTTTTTTAGTTTTAACTGTAACATGTGTGAATAGTTGCTTTAAACTTAATGTATACAGTTTTAAATGTGATTGTCAAAATTTCAATTTTTGTAATAGAGTTGTCAAAGTTTGGAATATTCTATCTGAGTCCGTCAGAGTTAGTCAGCTACTAACCTTTATAGTTTTAACTCCAACTTAACTCCATCTGTGAACCTCACCCCATATCTAAGAGGTCCTTAAGGGGGTAAATGCGTAAGTGCACTGATGTGCACTATCATCC